GTCGGCAGCGTGCGTTGTTCTCCATGTGCGTTGGTGTGAGGTGACCTCGGCGGACCTGGCGCCCGGCCACTGTGATGTGTTCCCTGTTTCTCCAACATTCGCAGTGTCTTGGGTTGGTTTCGGTTTTGACCGGTTGAGGCCCATCTAGTCTCCGCGCCCCACCTAGTGTCTAGACATGGTTGCCCGGGTAACGACATGGCTCAAGACGATCGAAGGGACCTTCTGTCTTAGAACACTTGTGTTGGATGTTCATGTTCAACATGCTTCGGAGAATTTTTGCAACTTTCAGATGTTGCCACTCTCTAAAATGGGAGTGCAGAGTACTCTAACATGCACGATGTGCTCAATCGCTAGAAAAAGATAACCCATGAACCAGATGAAGGACTTCACTGTGGAAGAACTAGGAGATATAGTTGTCTGTAGAATGATGGATCTGGAAACCAAACGGCAAGATTAAGTATGGAATTTCGCTTACTACCTTCCAGTAAAACCCCGCATTTGGGAGAGTGTCATCACTTCAGCATTGCAAGAAAAACAAGTCAGCTCTCAAAACTTTGATCTTGAAATTGGAGTCTATGTAATGTGGAGAGAACGTACCTCCTGTCAGCATTTCTCAATCACCATGCTCAGCTGGCTCCTAGTCCTCCTAGCAGGACTTGCAGGTGTTGCAAATTCCCAGCGCACTACGGAGATGAGGACAGACACCTACCATCAAAATGCCGGTGTCCTCCAATTTGTTAACCCCCTCATAGGCACCTATGGAACAACACCAGATGGCAACGGTGGGATGATCCCATCCGTCAGCCCTCCCTTTGGTATGACCCGCTGGACTCCGCAGACCCGCGAGAATTTCATATCGCAAGTCCCTTATGGCGACAGCGATCGTCTCATCCATGGATTTCAGGCGACTCATCAGCCGGCTATTTGGATGGGTGAAGCGGGCCAGGTTGTGTTGACACCAGGAATTGGGGGAGTACAGCCGCTGTTTCAGAACCGGGGATTGCGGTTTAGGAAGAATGACGAGAGGAGTACTCCCTACATCTATGAAATCCTTGTTGATGCTGCACAGCTTCTGGATTATGACTGGAATGCGACTGCTGAGGCTGTGGGAGATGGCCCTGTTCCTGGTGGTGCGGGTTCCGTGCCGGATGAAGTGAAGGAGGGGTCGAATGGACGGACGCGAAAACGGCAGATTGAGTCTGTCCTGCGTAGGATCGATAGCGTTGAGTATGAGCGATGGATACAGGTATTTGTGGTCTTCTTCTGATTTCCATGGATGTCTTCTGATGGGTTTCAGGTTGCCATGACTGCAGATTCTCATGTTGGCTATCTTCGGTTTGACTTTCAACATAGCCCTACCAACGTGGATAACAAAGGCCAGCCCTGGGTGTCAATCCAAGCATCGCGCCGGAACTGGACAGGTGAAATCCATGTTGATACCAACAGGCAGGAAGTCTATGGCTATAACACTGAGCGTCAGGATTATCTCCTCGGACCGGACAAAGCGTCGTCATTTAAAGGATATTTCGTATCTCGCTTTTCCCAGCCGTTTACTGAATTTGGCGTGGCCAATGGAGGTTCAATCATGAGGAATCGGGTTCAGCGACATGGAAATTTTACTAGTGCCTATGTGAAATTTGCTGATTCAACATCGCGCGTCGAAGTGCGCACTGGGGTTTCGTATATTAGCATCGCACAGGCAAGGAAAAACCTCGAGATCCAGACTCCAGATGAGAATACCTTTGAGGATACTGTAGAAAAAGTGAAGTCAGCCTGGCTTGAGAAGTTGGGCAGGGTATCAATCAAGGGCATCAACGCGACCGATTCAAACAACGATCCCCGCACTATTTGGTATACAGGCTTGTTTCACGCACTTCAATACCCGAGTGACTTTTCTGAACCAACGTCAAATGAGGATGGTGCGCCACGTGCTTTCTATTCAGGCTACACAGACAGCATTCACACTGAGGACGACTCATACTACCAGTCCTGGTCAATCTGGGATACATACAGAGCCGAGCACTCTCTCTTGACTCTGTTCGCACCGGAGCGTGTCAACAGCATGATGCGCTCCTTGCTACGCATCTTCGATTGGTCCGGTTGGCTGCCGATGTGGGCCAACTTGGTCGAGACGAATATTATGATCGCGACTAATGCAGACGTTGTCCTTGCCAACGCTCTAGAGCGTGGATTTAGGGGCTTTGATATTGACAAAGCTTGGAAAGCTGTCAGAAAAGACGCATATACTCCGCCTGATCACGATACTGATACTCTGTACTATGACCGTGAGCCCGACACTTCATATGAGGCCCGCGCTGGACTCACATCATATCTGAAGCAGGGCTGGGTGTCCAATGACGGTTGGTCTGAGGCCGGCAGTCGCACACTAGACTACGCATTCAATGATTATGCTTGTTCGGTTGTTGCTGCTCATGCAGGAGAAGACAATGCCACCGTGGAAGCTCTCAGGAAGCGAAGCAGGAACTATGCGTATATTTGGAACAATGAGACTCAATTTATGCAGGCTCGTAACGGAAATGGGACTTGGGCGAATAACACTTTTGGATGGACTGAAGGAGATGACTGGGTGTATACCTTTGACGTGATGCATGATGTAGAAGGACTGGCTGGGCTTTTTGGTGGTCATCAAGCCTTCCGGGACAAGTTGGATGCGCATTTCCAGGGTGGTCACAATGACCATACTAACGAACCAAGCCACCACGTACCCTATTTGTATTCTGCTCTTGGTTATCCTAATCAAGCAGCCGAGATAATTAGGGACCTTGCTTGGAAAAACTACAACGCGACCAGTGGGGGACTGGGTGGAAATGAAGACTTGGGACAGATGAGTGCTTGGTACGTTTTTTCTGCGATGGGATTCTATCCTGTCAACCCTGCCAGTGGGGTGTATATTGTGGGAACACCATTCTTTGGGGAGATGTCTATCCTCTTCCCTAGTGAAGCGAGCACTGGCGGAGAATCTGCAAATGGTAAAGAGAGGACGCTTGAAATTAGTGCTCCGGGGGCACCCACGAAGCCGTATATTGGTGGTTTGAAGATTGACGGTAAACCTATCAATGCCCCAATTCTGAAGCACAGCCAGCTTGTCCATGCGGCGAGAATCGAGTTCGACATGAGTGCTACACCAACTTCTTGGGGGAGTAGCCCTTTATCGGAGACTTGATACCAGCAGCACGTCCAAAGAGATCTGAGACATCAAGATCAAAGAGGCCAACTGGAGATAACCATCACATGGTGGAACTACTTGAGAGGTCCGTTGATGGTTCGATAGGTCTTGACCGAAGATCTGCGGTGTCGTGCTTGTGCGAATGTCGATTTCCTATCATCTCTTGGCTTGCCGCTCTGGTCGGATTCATCAATCACCACATATTCCCCGATAGCTGGATCCTTTAACATCCCCATGTCTCTTTGTGTGTCACCTGAACGTGTTATTGAAACTGATAATCATTTAACCCCTCGTTGCTTTTGCATCACCTCATTCTCATGATCTGTTGCAAAGGATTGCGCCATAGTACATCCCGTCTAGCAATGAACACACAATTCCTTGGCCATTGGAAAATTTGACCCCAACGAGTTTTGAATTGGTCTTTTAACTGGGTTTAAACCGTTTTTCGACATTCTTATTGTAACATAGTAATAGCGTACAACCATATTCGCCGTAAGCTACCATGTACGATGCCCAACAAGGATTAGACCACACATTATGGTTATAGTAACCAAAGCTAGGATTCAAGACAAACGCCACAAAGATCAGAATTCTTCGTCCATCAGTCTTATCGCATTATTAGTATTCTCAAAAAGATGATGATTGCCGCTCCTGACCACGCCCAGCTACCGCAAGGGGCCCGAGTTGAACGGCAATGTATGTACATGCAACGTGAAGAATCTCATTCCCCCAAACTTCCTTCCGCCTCCAAAAATGGGCCTTCCATCTCCCGTACGGGAACACAACGAGCAACTCCCCCAATTTGACAGCAGTGACAATGATAGCCTGCAATATACTACTGAAATCGGTGGGAACACTTCCAAGGCCACATATCAGGAGGTATCGGGAGCGCCCGTTGAGGTAAATTCACCACTGGGGTATTCGGTCGGTTGGGTTACTGTGGTTTTCTTGAACTTGAGCAAGATGATCGGAACGGGAGTAGTTTCAACATGTGCGTACAATTCAACAGGATCTGGATAATTTGATGAGATGCTCATTTATAATAGCATCGACAGTTCTCAAAGGTGCTGGGTCGGTTGGTCTCGCGTTGATATATTGGGTGATTGGGTATTTAATGGTATCGAGCTCTCTGTCGGTCTACATGGAATTCGCATCATCTTTCCCCAGTCGGTCCGGTTCCGAGGTTGTCTACTTGGAACAGTCGTATCCCCGACCCAAGTACTTCTTTCCTACTGTCTTTGCAATGCAGACGGTGCTTTTCTCATTTAGCAGCAGCAACGATGTTGGTAGGTTTACAATGCTTGGTGTATGGGGAAGTGGATAAGTACTGATCTCAACCAGTGCTAGCCCAGTATCTCTTCAAACTTGCTGATTCGGAGGTCACCCCATGGAAATCGAAGGGAGTTGCTGTGGCTTGCTATACTGTTGCAGTCCTTGGTGAGTGACAATTATGCTGTCGGTGCGATATGTGCTGATGGCATGGCCACAGCTTTGGCGTTTCACACCAGGTGGTCTTTGAGGCTCGCAAATGCCATCGGCCTGGTCAAGCTACTGACCTTGATATTGTATGTACTAGTTAGTAATTTCCTCCTAGGATGAAAATATTACATTGGCAAAGCTAACTTGAACTTAGCATCGGGATAACCGGGTTGGTAGTTCTCGGAGGTCATACTTCAGTGAAAGATCACAAAGCAAATTTTAGAAACGCCTTTGACGGTACTAGCACTGCCACAGCCTACGGGACAACAAATGCATTGACCAAGGTCTGGTTTTCTTTTGCGGGATACGAAAATGCCTTCAACGTTGTCAATGAAGTCCGGTTATGTACTTCATATGATCGTGACAACTTGTGTGTGCTAAATCTCGTTAGAATCCTACTAAAACCTTGAAATGGAGTGCTCCACTCTCACTGGGACTGACGGCAGTTTCATATATACTTGCGAACATTGCCTATTTTAGCGCTGCAAGCAATGACGAAATTTTCAAGTCGAAAGTTGTTGCCGCTGGTGTCTTTTTCGAGAAGGTGTTTGGAAGTAGTGGTGCGGCCAAGGCATTGGATTTCCTGATCTGTGTAAGCGCTTTTGGAAATCTCCTTGCTGTGCTTATTGGACAGTCTCGTATGCTGAGGGAGTGCGGAAGGTTAGTGATAAAATGGTGGATGGTTTTGGAGGTGATCCTAACATGTTTGCGCATAGACAAGGTGTGTTGCCTTTCACTGCGTTTTGGACTTTGACAAGACCGTTTGGCACACCCCTCGGTCCGTATCTTGTAAAATGGGGCCTCACGGTAATAATGATCCTGGCACCACCTGCTGGCGATGCATTCAGTTTCGGTACGTCGTTGTCTCTGGTCTAAGCTGCTGTTTCGTCACTAAGCGGGAACTAAAAGGCCCTTTGCTAATTTTGAGACATAGTTGTGGATCTCGGAGTCTACACATCCAGCTTCTTCGGCTCGGTGCTCACAATAGGCCTCGTGGTCACTCGAATACGTCGTGCGCGCCTCAATCTCCCGCCACCGGAAGACAAGGCCTGGCACGTTACAGTGGCATTTGCAATTCTCTCCAACCTGTACATGGTCGTGATCCCATGGTATCTGCCCAGTATTGGTGCTAATGGAGGTGATGTCAGCTTCTGGTATGCAACATATTGCGCGGTTGCTATAGGAATGTAAGTTGTTGATACCCCGGTTAATCCCAGTTGATACAAATCGCTGACTTGACGAACAATCTAGTATCGGGTTATGCGGACTCTACTATTATGTCTGGATCAAGCTTCTCCCTAGAGCTCAAGGCTTCACGTGGGAGCAAACGGTTCTGAAATTAGACGATGGTGCTCTGGCGCATCAGCTTGTCCGGGTACCTAAGAAGAATGCCTGAGGTCGACGAAGTGTTGCAATTATACTAGCCAACGCTGTGCGTTTAGGTCATCTTCCCAGTGCCACCTCAACATATCATTTTAGCGTTAAAGACGTGATTTTTCAGCAAGCCCCTATGGAGTCAGCCCCACTTCCCCTCAAGGCCGTCCCGCTCCTTTTCCCTACGGGAGCACCTATCTCTACACATCGCAGCACACCCATGCAACGGGGGACCTGTTGGAGTAAGTTTCCAAGGACCTGAATCGAATCCGACCAGATTAAAGCTCACCTCGGGGGATCGTTTATCGAAAAGGGAAGTATCGGTTGCCGAAGGGGTGCTACGCGACGCCGACGGGCTGTCGGCTGTGGAGTCTATCTCTCGAGCTTTTGACGTGGCCCACTCACGTTATGAAATGCGCTGATCATCATTAGAAAAAAAGAGATCGTATCAAGTTGATTGGCCTCAAGCCATAGACTGCTAAAAACTTGTGCGATTGCACCAAGTGGGCCAGGCATGTCCTCATTGGCCATACAACGACTTTGCAGCCCATAGTAAAAATAGAGAGCGACAGAATTATAAGTTGGACATTGCCACATGGGCGCTCCTGACTGTGATTAGTGTCAATCCAATATGCGTGCTCCTAGCTTCTGGCTTTGGGCCTCAGTCGCAGCTCCGTGTGCTGCGGTCAATGCTCCATGGAATCTAGGAAATGGCTTTGAACTGACGGTCAATGAGAATGCCAATCGTCTTTCCATTGCTCAACGTGGTCGATCAATCTGGGAGACTTTGCCAGGCCATGCATTCCTCAGTGCTAGCGCAGGAGATGACGAGGTGATCGCTGCCAACGGGAACTTCAAGATCACCGAAGTAGACCAAAACAAGTGTACCGGTCAGAAAATTATCAACGTTGCTCTCCAGTCATGGCACGGCAGTGAAAATGACTATGCTGCGGTAATTCAGGGTGAGCTAACCGGCTGTGGTGATGCCACTCCTCACTTTTCCCTCGCTTTCTGGGTCCCATCGCAATTCCCCGATCGCATTGCCTTTCACGTCAATCTTGACCCTAGAACCTCGTTGGATGGGGCAACTAAGCTGTTCCTGACATACCGCTCTTCGCCAACGGAAGACTTCTATGGATTTGGTGCCCAGGGATCGTTCGCCTCTTTCAAAAACCAGACTGTTCCCATATTCTCGCGAGAGCAAGGGGTCGGTCGTGGTGACCAGCCCACCACTCGTCTTGAAAACACAGACAGCTTCTTCGCCGGCGGAGATCACTTCACAACCTACACTGCGGTTCCACAATATATCAGCTCGAAGTCTCGGGTGTTCCACCTGACACAAGAGAGTTCAGCCTACACCACCTTCAATTTCACTAATCCTAGTGCTGTTACTGTGCGATATGATGGCCTGAGCGTGGACGGCTACTTGATGCAAGCCACGAACATTCTAAACGGTATTTCCATGCTAACTGATTACACCGGTAAAATGGTTGCCTTGCCCGAGTGGGTTGATACTGGCGCCGTACTGGGTATTCAAGGTGGACAGACCAAGGTCAACCGGATTGTCGACCAAGGACTTGCACTTGAATGTCCCATTGCTGCAGTATGGCTCCAAGATTGGTCTGGCACACATTCGCAGAGCGTGTCCTACATGTCGCTGAATGTATCTCGTCTTTGGTGGAACTGGGAATCGGATCAAACACTTTACCCGACATGGAAGAAATTTGTGCAATCTCTGCGTGATCAATACAATGTCCGTACGTTGGCATACATCAACCCATTTTTGGCAAATGTCAGCACAAAGCCTGATGGCTACCGCACCAACCTGTACGATGAGGCCAGCCGGGCTCGTTACCTGATCCAAAACTCGACTACCAATAACACATCCGTCATCTCGAGTGGTCCTGGCCTAAACGCTGGTATTCTTGATCTCACCAACCCTGTTGGACGATCCTGGTTCAAGGAAGTCCTGCTCGACCAAGTGTGGAGTGCCAATATCTCCGGATTCATGACTGATTTTGGCGAATACACCCCTGTCTACCCCGACACCCAGTTTTACAACATGAGCATCGACCCCTTGGTATACCACAATGCCTATCCTCGCGAATGGGCTGCTCTCCATCAGTGGATTGGAAAGAATGTGTCTTCGTTCTCCGACGCCATCCTGTTCCACCGCTCATCGTCTATGGCCGCAAACCGGCATATGAACCTATACTGGGCAGGCGACCAGAACACCAACTGGGGCGTCAATGATGGTATCAAGGCTGCCGTGACCGTCATAGGCCACATGGGTCTGTCGGGCTATTCTCACGGCCACGTGGAGATTGGTGGATACACAACTACTTGGGACAGCAACGGTGTTGTGAACCGCTCTTCTGAATTACTCGGTCGCTGGGGAGAACTTGCGGCCGTCTCCAGTGTAGTCTTCCGTACCCACGAGGGCAATGTCCCCCAGGTCAACGCACAATTCTACAGCAACTCTACCACCTACTCTTGGTTTGGTTACAACGCCCGCATGTTCGCCAGTCTTGCCAAGTATCGTCGTCGGATCTTGGAAACCGAAAGCAAGGACCTGGGCTGGCCCTTGCTCCGTATGCCCGTCGTCTACCACCCCGAGGACGAGGTCGCCAAGGCAATCAGCTACCAGAGTTTCTACCTCGGCTCTGATTTGTACGTCGCACCGGTGCTGGACCCTGGTCGCACTAGCGTGAAGGTCTACTTGCCCGGAAAGAATCAAACTTTCACCCACGTTTGGTCTGGCAAAAAGTACTATGGTGGCCAGGTTGCACGTGTGTCCGCACCGTATGGGAAGCCTGCGGTTTTCGTGGTCGGTACGCCGAAGAACAATGATTTGTATGACTTCTTGCAATTCGTCCGCCAGGAGAACAACACTGTCATTCGCTTATAGATCCCCACAACTAGTGTCTATGAGAAACCTCAATGTACAAATGCCTCAACTTCAGTCTCTAGAACCGTTCCTGCCTGGCGGCGTGTACATTTAAATGCTCTTTATTTGACTTTGGTTCCACTGCTGGCCTGAGATCTTCACTCCCTTCTAAAAGCTGTCGTCACGTAAGTGTGGATGTACATGCTCCTGAGTGTTCACAAGACAGTTCCCTGCATGGTTAAGACTTGTGCAACACTGTACATGGTAAAAGGATAACCTTGCCATGCCTGTTCTGTGCTGTTATTACTGTTGAGATGATTCCGTCTCTATCACTTATTATTTACTAGCAGACTATTAGATTTGATGATTCGAAGTATGGTGACTTCTATGAGGTTTCTCCAAATTTGTTCAACCACTTCGTGCCACTGGCTTACACTATTCATGCGTGACTTGAGAAGTGGATTCTAAGACCGAGATCAACAAGATGCTTCCTCCTTGCTGAGGCAGGCCGGTTGCTTTCCATCTAAAACGGGATAAAAAGGAAATTGGATTATATCGGAGCGGACCCTGGTTATTCTTCGGGCATAACTAACCCCATCGACGAATGAAAAGACCAACAAGAACAATTCTTAAAGCAACGAGTCGTTTTAGTAGTAATAGATTCATAGAACTTGATAATGGATTGAATAAATTCCATGACTCAAGCTTGTTTGCCCATGGCCTTTTGTAGGATATGCGGTCTCGCACCGCACTTGCCGACTTTACCTCTCTCTACCATTTTCCGATTTAACACGCGCGGCAAGCTATTTGATCGTGAGTTTAGGTGATGTATCATAAGAGATTCGTCGGGCCCTCCTTCTGGGTTTCACGAGAAGATTCAATCAAAAAGATTTATTCTCACTGCTTGCCTACTTCAAGTAGTCTAGGCTATGCCGGATGACTGCAACTGTCTCCTAAGTGACATCAAAAAGCGAACCACGAGGTTAAAGGCCGTCTTAGAGAGGTACATATTATTGAGAGGTATTACGAGTACGACAGGATTCAGAGATAACATTTGAAGGGGGCGTGAGATACATTTACCCAAATTTCAACTTGTTCCATTGAATCAATCTAGCGCATTAAAAAGTAGCCTACCTCAGTAACGCAAGAAGCCAACTCCAACGGCATCAAACCCCGACCAAGTTTGACCAAAGACCAATTCATGACCCATTCAACACCTTCCCGACCCAAAGATAAAAGGACCGCAATCTAGAGCGTGTTTCCCGCTGGGTCACCGAGATGGGTCACCGAGATACCACTCCGCGAAGCCCTTGAAAACCATTGACGTGGTTGTTCGGTCAGATAACTCGTAAAGCTCAGAAGGGCTTTGACCTTCAAAATAGGACTCCAGCAACCGTGCATTCTTCCCTCTAAACGAGACGATGAAAATAAATCTATGACGGTCAAATACTAAATGGGGGAGATTAAAGAGTCACCGGTGCGATCTTGTGGTGAAGTAACCGGGACCTTTCTCAACTGGCCCAACAGCAGGCGAAGGATAATCAACCGCTCTCCACGACACAACATGCTGTTTTCTCCCTCTAAGCCATGGCATGTGACTGCTTTCATATGTGGGAAGGGCTCATGCGGTTTCCAAATGAGCCCCTGAGTTCACAGCTCACTAACCCATGCGGAATATAGGACTATAGACAGACTATGACTAACAGAAGAGGTCTTCTGTGCATAGTGAGCTTGCAAATGAATTGGTTTAACCGAAAGAAAGGGGAAAGAAAGGGAAGAAATTCTCAGAAGCCCAGTGTGTAAATTGAGAAAAGGTGGTTCTCCGTTCTCCGTTCTCCGTTCTCCGAATCGAGGTCACGAGATTGCACATATCCCGGTCGCATGTCACTTCACCTCTTTATTTGCAACAGGGGGCTAACGATGAAATTTCAGTATCTTCGGATCATCTTTCGAATAGGGGAGAACGGATGTTCCATTCTTTGCCGAGTGCCGAGATTGATATCCACATGGAAGGCCCCATCAAAACAACTTCCCTCCACTTCAATCCGACAACCATCTACCCAATCCCAATGTCTTACGAAACAGACGCCCTGCTGGGCAATCACAGATGTGCTAAACAGTCTCTGCTCTACCGGGTATCTAAACACTTACGCAGCGATCTTGACCCCACGCACGGCGACCTGGTCCTACTATTCTGTTACGTCATCACCGGCCTCCTGGACAGCTCCGCGGTTCTCGTATGGGGCTCCTTCGTGAGCATGCAAACGGGCAACACGGTGTATTTTGGTTTAGGCCTCTTTGGCACCAGAGACGATCGCTGGATCAGATCCGGAGTCTCTATTGCGGGGTTCTGTCTAGGCTCGTGGTGCTTCGCCACCTTCCACCGTGTCTTCCCGGCGAGACGGAGATGGGTGCTCTGTGCGTCGTTCCTTGCTCAAACCTTGTGTGTTGGTCTTGCGGCTTCGATTGTTACCATTCATCGGCCGGCTCAAGGTGCACCCTTGAATTGGTTGGTCCTCGTCCCGGTTGCGCTCATCGCATTCCAGAGTAGCGGGCAGGCGGTGACGAGCCGTGTTTTGAATTTCACTGGCTTGACGAGTGTCGTTCTCACTAGTACTTATTGCGACTTGTTTTCACATCCTGATTTCTTCTCGACGAAGCTTGTCGGTCATGCTGAGGAGATGCGTCGGATTGGCGCAATCTTGTGCTTGTTGGTCGGGGTGGTCTTGGGGGGATTCTGGGCTCATAGCGATGTGGAGATGATGGGAGCTTTGTGGACTGCTGTGATCATGAAATCGATGATTGTTGGTGCGTGGTTGGTCTGGAGTGGAAAAATGGAGGACACAGAATAAATATCATCTGGGAAGTAGAAGATGCCGGTGCTACATAGAATGTGGATTGATGTACATATCTATATATGTGTGCATATCTTGGTTTGTTATCTTCGAATAGAGAATACTAGAATATGCCATCTCGTTTGTATGTAAACTTGGTCCCCCCCCCGTTACTATATGAGATGGGTTAGATCTCCCATCTAATTTTCTGGGAGTATCGTATTAATGCGTAGAACCTCTGGATTGACCTTGAAGCACGAAAAGCCAATCAAAGACGTCGAAAGTGTGGTATCTAAAGGGCAAATTCAGGGGAAGATAATCCGGGGTCTTCTTTCCGAGTTGTAGTTCAGCCTTGTCTCTGCCATCCTCGTATCATCTCATGTTGGAGTACTTGTGGCATTGAAGCAAGTCTTCTTTGCCCATCAACCTGGGTTAATTGATTTTTAAATTACTAGGCAAGACATCTTTGTTTAGTGATAGGGATGGGCATGATTCCCGTGAGTAAGTTTCATAAATTGATGAACTCTCATAGCCTAGGGTTCTTTTTTGTTCCTTTCATTGGGGGGTTAAAAGCAGCAAAATGAATGACAGACTGGACATACAGCACTCATAACAGAAAGGAGCCAAACCAACACGGCGAAGAGAAGTTTTCCCCCCAGAATTCTCAAAATGAGGATGAAAAGAATAGCAGAGGCCGCACGGTTAGAGTAGCCGGCCAATGGTTCTCAAGATGTTGACCTCCTCTGGGACAATAGATGACCACACAACTTTCAAACGGGCAACAACATCTCCACAATATGATGTGCATGGGCAGCAATAGCCATTAGAAAACTAGAGGCATAGGTGTTACTCGATCGAGATGGTATCCAATCGATGTCTCGGAGAGGTTTGAGCCGAGAGATCCTAGACAAGCGCATCCCATTTTCAAGGGCTTCAAGTTTGAAATTTCCCTTCTCATCAGACTCAAATGTTCGACCGATGAAAAATCTGTTGTTAGCACAATGTTACTGGCCATTTTCATATGTCTGAACATGGACGGAGCACCGAACGTTTTCTGCTCATTTTGGCGCCAACCTGTGTAGCCAACAGTGTTCAATGACAGATGCTTCAGCACTCGATATTATAACACGGCCAAGCTACGAATTGATGGAGGCCAATAAAGATAGGCATCCAGGGTGAGGGTTGGAAGAGGATAGAACCATCGACCTGAAACCCCCCCCCTCCCCCCTCAGTGACCATCATACAAGATCCAGGTTATGATTAGGCTTTTGTTTTTGTTAAGAGTCTACTCCACAATCTCCGAGAGTCCAAGTTGAAATCCATAAGGTCAGGTTACTGGTCAGCATCTCGTATTAGCTTGACAGAGTAGCCCTGCAGGTCATCTCCATTGAAAACCCAAAAACATAGTCCCAACATTGGTCACCGATGGACCGTCACAACGGGGCCGACATACTGTCCTCTACCCTGGAAGAGATACATGAACAGACTGATGATGAACACACCAAAGAAGATAACCACACTCCAATTAAACTCTCGGGCGGCAGGCAAAGGACTAGGAGGCCAGAACGACCAAAAGAGCGCAAAAAGAACGTAGAGCAGCCCAATAACATTTACCGCAAGACCGAAACGACCTAGACTCCAACGTCGAAGAGGCAACGTTTCCGGGCAGACAACCTTCCGGTAAACCACGCAGCTGATTGACACCGCGTAAGTGTACATGAGCGCAGCAACGTTGAGAGAGATGATCGCGTTGAATGCAACTTGCGAAGCGATATTAATCAGCGACAAGAGGCCGCTGATAATGCACGACAGCGCAATGGCTCGTACTGGGATTCGACGGCGTGGATCAACATGCGAGATCCAGTCTGCGAAGGGTAGACCACGATCCCGTGCGAATGCATATGTCTGACGTGCAGTGGACGCATTGAATAAGATGTTACTGAATATGACTGGAATCAAAATTATTGCTGTGAGGCCGTTGACACCGGAGGTTGAGAGGAATTGGCGGAGGACATGGAGGAAAGGGAATCCGGTACTGTCGCTGAGAGCATTAGGCACAGAGGGTAGAGCAAGAAGGAATCCAACGATGATTATCAGAGCTAGTATGCCATTGCCAAAGTATCCCCATGCGATCGCGATTGGTACGTATCGACCTGCATCCTTGACTTCTTCAGACATGTGTGCGGTGGCGTCGGAGCCTGTCAGCGGTGTTGGTGTAAGCCTTGTGCTCCGAAAGAGTAGTACTGTGACAAGCTTACTCAATGAGCCGTAGATAGCTGTAATCTGACCAATCATTAAGCTGATGCCCATAGTTGACCAATTCCCACCATTGTAGAATGAGGTGAAGACGGTTTTAGCCGAGTTGTGAGGAGCCATGGCGAACAAGATCGCCACAATGATGACCCAGCATAACAAATGGAGAGCGAGAAGGACGTTTTGAATTCGTGGCATCCAGCTTGCCGCATAGACATTGAAAAAGTAAATCACCGCGATCATCGCGAATACAAACAAGGTTCCTTGCCAATTTTGGGGTTCATAGCTCGGGTCACGGAGGGAGATGAGTCCTTGGATAATAGTACCGGTCAGAAACGAGCCAGATGCAGCTCCGGCCTGCCAGGCCAGTACCGACATCCATCCTGAGTCAGGCAAATTAGCGGTCGGTCAAGGGCGTTATACGAGGAATCTCACCAGTAGTGTAACTCAGAAACTTCTGGTATCGTGGCGAAGAAAATTCCGATATCCAGTGGTATTGGCCTCCTGACGTAGGTGCCCTGACGGTCCGAGGGAGGATACGTCAGGAACATCTGCGCATCGCATTTTTTTTTTTGGCTCGATTGGAACTCACATTGATGCCATTTCGGCTAAGGAAAGGATGATGAAGCCAAATCCAACGAAGGTCCACATGTAAGACCAGAAGACACCAGCGAGGCCACCATTCTCAAGGCCTTGCGTGTTCGAGCTAAGTAGGAGGCGATGAGTGGCTGATATCACGGTGTATGTAGCGAGAGCATCTTACATAAGTACAAACTCCCAAGTAGCTTGAAGAACTGCTGAAAAGCTCAACGCTGCAAGGGGTCGAAAATTACGCTTCAAAGATGTCAGATGTCAATTCCCATAATGCATGACACAGGGCTAAGTAACACCTTGAGTTCTTGGATCTTTCCCATGCGTGTCATATCATCCTGATCCTGGGGACTGCCCTCTATCTCTGGTAGGTCTTTCACAAAGTGTTCTTCTTCCATCGTTTGAACTCTCTCAAAGGAATCGATCTGATCGTGTGGAGATGTGTTCTCTGATGGCATCTTGGCAAATTGAATGGCTCAAATTAGGTATTTAAAATAACACGGGTGAAGAGCTAACTCCAAACATTGGATATTAATCAAAAATTGAAAGAGACTACCTGAGATTGGAGTTGTGTAAAATCGGAAGAGGGCCTTGAATTGTGCAGTCTAGGCAATATCAGCTGTTCAGTTGCAGGCATCCCCTCGAGTGTTACAATGAGTCGACTTGGAGGCCAAAGTCCCTTCTCCTCCTTCACGTTACATACCCCTCGACGGGCTATTAAATCTGCCCATAAAAACACACAGAAGGCCACATGGCAAGTGCTTCACGGAAATTCGGACCGAAATCGGGACTCAGTGTTACTTTTTACGATGGCTAGGGGTGTTTAAAGTGGCACGAGTTTTCGATCTATGTCTAGTCGGGAATCATCTGTCGTCCTCATGTGGACGAGGAGCTCATCTTTGTTATGGTACCGTGTTTACTCAGGTTAACTATCCCACCTGCCTTTGAAAAGAAGCAAAAAAAGGTCAACCCCGTCCAACTCCTCGGGGAGTGAAACGCAAGTCAATATCTGGGACATACACATACGACGCTATCAAGATAACACTTGATAATTGGCTCTGCTCTTGTTTTGGACCCACCAGGTTGCGTGTGCTGGTTTCATGCTGTATGCCGGCATCCATCTGTATCTTTCCGTGAGGATAGAAGGATAGTCAAACCCTGGCTGTGTTGTACAAAAATCAGCCTGAGAACTTGTTCCGAGAAAGGTTGATCATGTCAGTCGTTCCATTCCCAGTTGGAATAAACTCGAGGCATTTTAAAACAAACGTGCTCTGAAAGAAATCATCTCAACTTGTGAAAGATCAAAATAAAGAGAGCAGCGACAGTCTGTATTTTTAGCGTGATGCCTGCACACTCTGCCATCCCCAATGTATCCTGTCAGTTGGGATTGCAATTGGAAGAACGAGAGTTAGCTACACATGTGCTCCCTACGGAGTAGTCCGTATTGTGTTGCAATAAAATTCCCCTCAAAGGTACCTGGGTTTACTGCGCCTTGTTGTATACGGCACAATGTAGATGTAACGGCGCAACTAAACCTTCCGAGTGACCATAGCCCACCGAATGTATCCCGGAGACCAAGTTTGAAAGTAACTGAACCTTCCAAATACTTAATTAGCTGAGTTTGTGCGGCTCTAAGTAGTCCTGCAGCTACAGCACGTACCTCTGATTGAAGAGAAACCTCTTTCGTGTGAGAACATTAAACACCCAGGTGATCTGCAAAATGGCATTCATATGAATCTAATACATTCATTCCCATGAAGCAGCCCTAAATAGCTCGATAGCTACAAAATGTTCCCGAATTACATGATCAGATCGCATAGGAAACACATCCGCAATTTCGCGAAAGCCGAAACCAAGCTATGGACATGCAAATGGAAACCAACAGTATAACCACATTCCATGTCCAGGTAGATCGGCCATTGCACCAAGGTGAAATCTCCGTTTGGATCTAGGCTGAGGGTGGATGGAGATCTGCGATTCGTGGTCAGAATGCCCTGCATCACGGTGTGAATTTTCTGAGTCAGCCTGTCTGTTTAGCTGAGACTGAATATATCCCCCATCGAGTCCCTTGAAGTAAATCAAGTATTTTTTTTTTATTTCTTTGGAAATGACAACTCCATTCCCAGTCCCATCGGGCATGACGCCTCCGCTGACTGTGGATACCGATATTAATCACAATGGATTGATTACGGTCATGGCCTCTTTTTCATTATTTTTGGTTCTGGGATCTCTAGGGATTCGTGTGCATTCTGCATATAGTAGAAGAGCCCGTCAGTGGGATGATTTGACTTTTCTGGTCACCGTGGTAAGTCTTTCCGTCTCAACTAAGACGGACCCCTTTAGGAGGTCTTAGTGGCTGAGGCTTGGTGACTATAGATTCTTGCTTTGACGCAGATATCTGTAGCCTTTGTGCAGATAAATTTCGGCTGGGGAAAGTCAAAGTCGCTAATCACTAACGACGAGTGGACCTCTATGGAGAAAGTAGGTGTCTAGAATGAAGATGCGAGATCATAGTTGACACACTCTCCTTCAAGGCTGCATACAGTGCAGATATCCTCTACATGGCAATTCTATCATCTTCAAAAGCGTCCACGGCACTTTTCTATCGGACCATTACTTTGCGTAGCTCTCAATGGATGAGCTATGTTCTTCTCACATTTACTCTACTCTGTGCCCCTGTTACTGTCGTTTTACTGGCAGTCCGCTGCGACCGACATCCATGGCATGATATCAGCAAACAATGTTCCGTTTTGGTAGGTCGGGGTGGATATCAATACTATATGTCCAGTCACTCACGCTCGTCCAGTTTCCTCACTGGCAAGCTGTCACAGCGTTGGACATTGTTTTTGAAATTTTGATGTTAATCTATCCTATCGGGGTAATCGTACAATTGCAGACGACACTAAGCAACAAAGTTATTGTAATTTTGGTGCTTAGCTGTCGATTTCTGTATGTTTAAGGTCTCCTCTGACGGGGTTCCAACATCGATACTGATAACAATATTTGCAGCCTCGTTCCCATCAACGCGATCCACCTCTATTACATAAGTCAACAAGTCAATTCGCCAGATCCAACACTCGAAGGAACCCTCGCTACGGTTGTTGCGGAGCTTCACGTGGCGATCAGCATTCTTGTGCTGATAGCACCATTAATGAAACCATTTGTCGCAGCCTACGTCGATGAGAACGGACTGGCCTATACCGACGACGCGTCAAAGTCACGAACTGATCATAAACACACACCACACTCAGACCAATTGAACGCGATAGATCCAAGGTCACGATTTAGTGATTCGCCACCAAAAAATCGCATTCTGAAGAGCATTGAAATATCGGTGGATCGCGAAGATGTGGAGCTTTTGGAGAGACGAGGATGCCCTCAAGAAAAACCATCATATTCTACACTTGATGCACACATCTAATGGGAAACATTTACATGGCGTTGTTCTTACTAATCTCCCTGCTAGAGGATTTGACTATTCCAACCGGAGATTTTGGCTGCCATGGTCGTATAAAATGTTTTGTAGGCATCAACGCTCATCTCAGTGTGAGGCCGCAAGCTGTTTGATATGAACTTCAAGTGCACTAGGTGATGCAACCAACTGTTTGCGTCAACGGAGTGCGCGACATTTGGGCTTTTTTTTAAAAAGGTGCACAGCATTCTTGCAAGTGCGGTGCTTAGTTCAACTGTAGATCTTCACCCTGCACACTGAAGTTTATCCGAATTTCCATCGCTTCGGGTCCAAATTCCAAGCTTCCCCCTCACTATGACATCATCAATCCACAACTAAAGTCGACCTTGTTGTCCAAATCTTCATCGTACTTCTTAATTTTGAGACATCTGACTTCTATATCTTCACTCATCATCGCTGAAAGTGGTTGCAATCGCTATGGAGCCCTGACCAGTGACCCCGGTCCACTGCGAATGGCAGATTCTCAACATCAAGCCACTTCAAATCGTGACATTTCTAGAAGTAGTCATTCAATCGAGCAGAACTAGGAGCAATTGATCAGAAGATAAAATTTCTAATCTCGCAGACTCATTCAGAGATGAACAGCTTACCGAAATCAGGTGTCGGACGTTATAATGGTGGCAATGCGGCGTGATCAGTGCTGCAGAAACCAGCTCGCTTAGTATTCTGTCCCTTCCATCGGCCATGGCAGTTAGTGTCGCCGGGAACTGCAAGAGGGACAGATGTTAGCATGGATTCACTGGGTAGACCTTCGGTCAGTACATGACGTGTTGGAAAAAGTTGGCTCTAGCTGCTATCAACCCGGTGATTGTCGCAATCTCTGCTTGTTTGGTGATGTCAAAATTTCCAATGCCGGGCCATTTATCAGACTGCTAATCTTTTTGAAGAGTGACATGGGCCTCTGGGTGTCTGCTAAGGCAATACACGATGATCCAAGCAGTGCCGGCTTTCGTGTGCTGCCAGAAGTTGATAAAGTCCAAGTCTTTGTGCACAAATTTTCTTGCATGTAGATATTTGTCTGTAAGTATAGTACAGCTTTCTTCCCAGTGAAATCTTACCGGAAAATGCAATGTCAGTGATAGTTTTTTGCTTGTTTTGTTCCACATCTGAATCAGACGTTCGAAGATCTGAATGTTGAATTTGGAACTCCGCCCAACTTTATGTCATAAAGAACGGAGAGCTTGCTTCAGATTCAAATCGCTCTCACTGAATGAATTTTCATGTGAAGATACGTAAGGATGTTGTCGTCAATACCACCCATGGCTCAGCCGAATGGACGGATGCGATGACGTTTTGCAAGATCACAAATAAACTATTTTTGTGAATTGTAAGGGAAGAAATAAGACCTGGGATAGATTGCCTGCTGTGCTCGCGACGCATATGTCAATGGGCTCTTATTGAGATTCTCCCAGTGCACACTGTTGCTACAACACCTAAGACTCACCTGCCCTCGATGGTAATTTTCTGTTGAGCGAGAGTCGGGCATTCTCTATAATGACCAACACAGAGACGCAAACTTCAATGTCTCCGCATAACATGCGGGTGCCAGCGCAAGATTCAGCTAGCATACGGACCATGTTCGATAATGGCGATACGCACAATGTGCCCGATGCGGTAGAAAGTAGCAGAGACTCTGCAGAAATCAAACCCGAAAGATCTTCCAATGAAACAGAGAGTTTAATTGTGGATTGGGACGGGCCAAATGATCCGGCATGACATCCAACTGCCCTCCTTTGATTGTGTGTATCGCTTCTCTAATACAGTTCTAGGAGATGCCCCGGAACTTTCCGACATGGAGAAAATGGGTGATCAACATAATGCTAGGACTGATGACGATCTGCATTACATTCGGCTCTTCGGTCTTCAGCACAGCAACCAAACAGACAGCGGCCAAGTTCGGCGTCTCCTCAGAAGTGATGGTGTTGGGTGTCAGTTTGTTCGTCCTGGGTTTCGCCTTTGGGCCTATTATCTTCGGACCCCTGTCGGAACTGTACGGCCGGAAGCGACCGCTATTTGTGGGCATGTTTCTCTTCGCAATTTTTCAGATCCCTGTTGCGGTAGCACAGAACTTGCAAACTATCTTCATATGTCGCTTTCTGGGTGGACTCTTTGCTAGTGCACCTCTTGCTATTGTGAGTCCTTTGCATTGTGTCCAACCTATGCTGGCACTCTCGCTCATTGAAATCCTCTCTCGATTTAGGTATCCGGCATCCTGGCCGATATGTTCGAGCCCGTAGAGCGAGGAATTGCAATGGCCATCTTTGCCGCGGCAACCTTCATCGGCCCGGTAGCTGGACCAATAGTCGGCGGCTTCGTAACTATCTCCCACCTAGGCTGGCGTTGGACGGAGTACATTACCGCCATTTGGGCGTTTGCCATCGCTGGTATCGGGATCTTGGTAATCCCCGAGACGTTCGAGGGAACGTTACTCAAGCAACGTGCTGAGCGCCTGCGCACAAAAACTAAGAACTGGGCTCTGCATGCTAAGGTCGAAGAGAAGGTGGTGAGTCCGAGAGATATCACGGTACAATATATCCTCCGTCCATTTCAGATGCTCGTGCAGGAACCCATTCTTCTACTTATGACCCTGTATGTTGGTTTCATCTATGCATTTCTGTACATGTGTTTCGTGGCTTACCCGATTTCTTTCCAAGAAGAGCGTGGCTGGAATGATGGCGTTGGAGCATTGCCATTTATCGCTGTCATATGTGGTGTATTTTGCGCTTGTCTCATTATAATTGCTTTTTCATTGACGCGGTATCGAAGGTTCATAATCCGGAACGGCCGTGTTCGGCCAGAGGAGCGGCTGATTCCAATGATCATTGGAGGTGCCCTGTTGCCCGCGGGTATGTTTTGGTTTGGCTGGACGTCAGATCCTCACATCACTTGGGTTCCGCAGGTCATATCTGGAGCCTTCCTAGGCGCAGGGGTACTGTTGATATTCTTACAAGTATGTCTATCTCCGTTGACACATCTGGTGCACTGTACAAATACTCACGATAATTGGCAGGGCCTCAACTATATTATCGATGTGTATCCCCTGTATGCAAACTCTGCCATAGCAGCAAACTCTTTCTTTCGTTCATGGCTGGGGGCCGGATTTCCTATGTTTGCATCGGCAATGGTGTGTTTTCCCCCTTTCCTAGCACTACAAGAATAGGGCTGACCGCAATTCAATGTAGTTTCACAACCTGGGCGTGAACTGGTCGATGACATTACTAGGATGCCTTACCGCCGCCTTGTTCCCTGTGCCCATTGTGTTTTTCATTCACGGGCCGAAGATACGTTCATGGAGCAGATTCACTATTAAGGAAGAATGAAACCCAAGCTCTGAAAATTTGGATTCGACGAGAGCTCAAGCAGAATCATACTATAGTTTCATCTGACAAAGTGTTGCGTAGTGTAATTAACGATTTTCACCCAACTGACATGTTTGTATAAGCCGATGTAGCATCTCCACATAAAGTGTGCTCATTTTAAAAATCCTGGGGTTCATAGCACAAGCCCTCACTCTGGACCTGGCTCTGGTCGTCATCACTCGCTTTGTCTTTATCGTCCAGTACTAATGAATACCATATCACCACATTCATAGGGTCTATACCTCAGATTTCAGCTAGCAGTTTCAACGTCAACCGAAAGACAATATGCATGACACGCAAGTTCGCATCATTCTGGCGTGAGGCCCGAGGCATGAATAGTCACAGAGGTTCTCATCGGGCAGGTCCGGTGGAGCAGACCTTCGCGTAGAAAAGAGCCACACCCATGATATACGGTCCGGCATATCCCTAATTGGAGTGCAGTTTACCCCAGCTTTTCGCCCGGATTCCAGGGGATCAACCAAACTTTCCGGGATAACGGGCGTCGCTTGAATCAGCCATTACCACATCCCGTGAGAGCGAAACCTAGGGAGTAAAACCCATTTGTAGCCAATATAATCTCCCCGTTTCATGGCTGTCACGCGATTCCACTCCATCTCTCTTGAAGCTCTTGGCCTGATTGGTCTTCTTGGAGACAAACTCGCTTTCGTAACGATTCCTCTTGATCTTCCAAGTCCCGCTATCAGTGATGGTCATGAGCTTTGTGATAGTCTTTGTCAAATGCATGTTGCTCGGACTCATAATATCGATGCCAAGGAGGATGGAACCGGCCGAGAAGCTCAAGGTTTAAATTATACATGAAGATCGAACTTGAGGCTCCTGCTGGTTGCTTGGACCCCGGGTGTAGATAGGGTTTCCATTTGTGTATATGGAGCGACCGGTCATCACAAAATTTCTCAAATAGGGCAATTTTTGATTCTTCAGTAGTTTTCTCTGCTCATTCACAACGAGAGGTGGATGGCATGTTGGTCCGATGAGGTGACCGATGTTCCACTTGGCGCCGTTTCAGCCCATCCTGCAGAGTTTCATCTTTGGGAGCCAATCATCCCTATTGCCCTAACTTATTTGGAGAGTCACCGGTCGACCACTTGCGAGTTGTGCCAATAAATGGTAGAACATTGAAGAAAGCGAAGAAAGCGAATACAACGCACTAGTGTCTGTGATGCTTTTACTCGAAATTACCACAAACCAGGGCCTTTGATAGTGGCTGAAGCGACATTTGAAGGAAACATCGCCAGCTCTCAATGTTTTACCTTAAACAACCCCAGGTTTCATGATCTCCATCCGTGTTATATCCGACTCAGCCGATCTTGACTAGGGTTATAATTGTACGATAAGCTTTGGAGGGAGTCAATGTTGCTTAGAAGCAATCCGACCACACCTCTAAATCGCTAACAAATACGCAAGCTCACAACCATCTGACCAAAATGCGCTCTCTTGCATGGCTTGTATCCCTTCCCATGGTGGCTGACGCGGGCGAAGTCCTATGGAGCGGGTTCTTCAACGCCTCCGCGACTGTTGCTGATTTTGATAAGTGTGGGTAACTCTCGGGAATTGCTATGGATTACTACTAACACAAAAGAAGGGTCGTGGTCTAACCAAGTTGGCGATTGGCAGTGGTATATTCACGGGTCTGCAGGCACAGACAAGTACCTCGGTCTTTCACCGGATCACAAGAACCCGGCAGATTCCACTGATGAGCAGGGGATTCGTATCACAATCGTAGGTCATGTCTCCAAAGCTCAGACCGACTAGAAGCTGATGGCAGCTAGGATGGCACGTCGTTCTGGAATGGACAAACCATGGAACGATCCGAGATCATCCCCGAGACCAAGGCCAATCTCGGGAGGGGCCATGTGTTTTACCACTTCTCGCTAAAGACAGAAGAGACGAATGCGCCGAACGCAAGCTTCGAGCATCAGATCGCGTTCTTTGAGGTAATCAACTACCATTCCCATGCTACCAAGAGACCAACAGCTAAAAAATATATCCATCATAGAGCCATTTCACCGAGCTCAAATACGGCACCACGAGCGGCACTTCAGGTGAAGATAACACCCTCCGCTGGTGCGTCGGTGGTGCGTCGCACTGGGAAACCAACTTGAAACCAGGGCATTGGTACAACTTCGCTTACGATATTGACTTCGACGCGAAAACAGTTGGACTATGGGCATCGAATGGATGCGATAACCTGACGCAGGTTGTATCGGCTGTCAACGCATCGACTTGGACGGACTCAGCGGATTGGCATATCGGCGAATTGAGGCTCTCTAATGGGGGTTTGAACGCAACCCCGGAGGATTGGTTTTGGTCTGGTATATTTGTGGAGAAGAGTCCAATCACGGCTTCCATTGCGGGTCCTGCGTGAGCACAGTATCCAAATGTTGTTTTTGGTGCACTGAGCTCGGTGATCATGAGATCGGCTCCGATGACATGACAGAATGAAGACAAACAGTTTGCAAACATGACAAACCTATCAAATGATCCACCCAGCATTGGTTCTGACGTCATACAGCAAATCAAACAGGATGTACCTAGAAATAGCTCTTGGAACAGTTCTGGAATTGAAATTATATTACATGAAGTATGGAGTCATTTGAAGTCGTCTATCGTACATGAATTATTTACCGCACGGTGTAACCACCGTCAATGAGCAAATCGTTGCCCGTCATGTAAGTGCTGGCATCGCTGACCAGGTAAACATAGGCACCCTTAAGTTCCTTCGCATCACCATTGCGACCCATCGGGATCATAGAGTTCCAAAGATCCTGAACATCCTTAGCGACGAAATCAGACAACCCGGTGTCAATGTAACCGGGCGAGATGCTGTTCACGCGGGCAAAGTCTCGCCATTCATTAGCCAGCGACCGGGCAAGGTGAATCGTGCCAGCCTTGGCGACGTTGTAAGACGTTTGTTCCTGGGGGAAGTTGGCTATGTGGCCTGACATGGATGATGTAATAACGAAGCTGCCAGTTCCGCGCTCCTTGAAGTGAGCACCAACAGCCTTGGCACAGTGGAAAGTGCCGGTCAAATCGGTGTTGATGACTTCGTTCCAGTCCTCGACAGATCCGTCAAGAATGCCGCTGTCGGCAGTCCGTCCAGCGTTGGCAATGAAGGCGTCGATCTTCCCAAAGTCTTTGATCACCTCTTTTACGAGAGTGTCCACGCTTTCCCAGTTGCCTACGTCGCACTTGTAGGGCTTGACCTTCACGCCGTATTCTTCTGCGAGTTCCTTGGCGTTTTTCTCAGCACCCTCACGGCGGGAAGCGTATGTGATAGCCAAATCAGCGCCCATCTCGGCACAGCCGCGGGCGGCTTCGATGCCCATGCCTCGAGGACCGGAGGCTCCGGTTACAACAACAACCTTGCCCTTGAGGCTAAGAAGGTCGAGGAGGCGGTTGGCTTTGGGTACGGGGATGGGCATTATGGTAGAGTTTGGTTGAGTGGCGTGATGGTTTGCGAGTTGAGGGAGGTAAGTGTAAACGGTGGGCTTAAGGATTTATGAGAACAGTGATACTTAATAATTTTCCAAGTTTTGCGATACGAAGGTGCCTTAAATATGTCGCGCCCCCTCGAATGACTTCATGGTTGTTGGGTCCTACGCTTGCTTTTAGCACTGACATCAGAGAACCCTACCTGGGTATAGCTGCGTATGGACCTCCTGCGCCTGGCTTAATCAGGTTATGGCCTTTTTTGTTCTAGCCAACCTGGCATGTCCAGTAAGAATATCGAATGACTTCAGTTGTGTCAGTTCTAGTGGAGACGGATGGCGGGGGCAGTGACATCATGACCCGAACTGGGATCCGGCAAGCCGTAATCCCGTTCTCCCATCTCTTTTGCGAATCACTATGTTTCAGATCGGCAATGACACCGGACGATTCCAGAGTAATCACCAGATCATTCTGGAATGTTCCAAGGAATCGTATCTTGATCAGGACATGTCCAACTCCATAGCTCTGGACGAGGTGCGTCGCCCCACTTTGACAAGGCAAGGAGAAGTATAGAACTGTCAATTTGTTCTGGCATTCTTGCCCATAGTTACTACAGAAAATCTTTTTTTAGAATTCCATGGCAGTCCGCGAGAGTGCTCTGGGGTATTATATCTTAAATGGGTAGAAAGAAAGGCTGTCAAAAGAACCCTAAATAGTGATGACGGAAACGACAGAGCGCGGACAATTGAAACGTCGAGTCATTGACTCGAGCATCAAGAACAAAAGAAACCCCCCGGCCACTTCTAGGGATCTAATGTCGAAAATCATCCCTTTTGCTCACTTCCAATCTCCGGTATGACAGATCAAACCGATGAAATTCCCCCTGCTCAGCCAGTCCGAGATGGTGGGCATTTACATCGACCGTCTACGTCTAGTTCTTTGCACCATAACAATTTCAAAGATTCTTTTTTCGCAAGGTGCGCATAGAGATTTGCCTGTGGCAACTGAGACTCGACTGAAAATGTTATAGAACCCATTCCTTTTTCCAGCGAGACAGTCACATAGGTCACGTTGGGCGACACCCTTTGCGGGGTAGCGAGGACGTCGAGATACATACCTGGAATGGTCCAGATGATCCAGACAATCCGTAAGACCCGAGAAAGAGATTTTCAGTGGGCTTTTGACTGACGGTCCAGATTCAATTGGAGCAAAACCTACAAATGGGTGCTTACTCTGACCATCTGTTTTATGTCAGTCGCATCCGATCGTTTCCCACTTGGCCAAGACAAGACTGACCCCTTCAGTTCCATCCTTACAGGTCTGCCCGCTGGATCCTATGGCGCCGGGAACAAATACATGGAACAACGCTTTCATGTTCAAAATGAGCCCTTTCCGAACCTCGTATGGGCCACAGCCTCTTGGAATATGGGCGCTGCATTCTGGCCCTTGATTTTTGTCCCATTAACCGAATCATCGGGGCGTATGCCTGGGTATTTCATTGCTTATTTCATTCTTGTGGTTTCGCTATTTCCTTCGGCCTTTGCGCAAAACTTTGCCACGTTGGTCGTGACTCGATTCTTTGGCGGTGGCGCCTCTTCGGTATCTATCAACATCGTCGGAGGTAGCATCAGCGATGTCTGGTATGGCCCGAAGGCTCGGAGCTTACCGATGTCTCTGTTTGGATTTACGAGCGTAGTTGGGATAGCGTTGGGTCCCTTTATCGGATCAGCCATTCAACAGATTCACAAAAACAGTCCATGGAGATGGTAAGTTGTGGTTTTATGTATTGCTGCTGGGATACGGAGCATTGCTGATAAAGATCCAGGATCTTCTACATTCAGATAATTTATAACGCTGGACTAATCCCGGTCTTCTGGTTCATTCTTCGCGAGACCCGCGCAGATGTGATCTTAAAACGACGTGCGAAGAAACTCCGCATGGAGACCGGCCGTGCTATATATGCCGAAGCAGATTTGGACACCACCAGCGTCTTGAAGCTGGTGCAGATTTCGTTCGAGCGTCCTACCCGAATGCTCCTGACGGAGCCTGTTGTCATTTTCTTTACCCTATGGGTCAGCTTCGCGTGGGGAATCCTCTTCCTGTTTTTCTCAAGTGTCACCCAAACCTTTAGTGCAAACTATGGCTGGGGAACATTCCAGACTGGTCTAGTTCAGCTAGCCATATCAGTGGGAGCTGTAATTGGCACAATTCTAAACCCTATCCAAGACTGGATCTACCTCAGGTCTGCGCGCCAAAATCGTGAGTGTCCCGGTAGACCGATTCCAGAAGCCCGGTTGTATACTTCTATACCTGGCAGTCTTTTGTTCGCGGGTGGGCTCTTCTGGTACGGTTGGGCTAGTGTTGAAGACGGCTCTGTCTCTTGGGTCGTGCCGGCGCTAGGAATTGGCTGCACAGGCGTGGGAATTTACTCTATCTACATGGCCGTGGTCAACTACCTGACTGACGCCTACGAGAAATACGCTGCATCGGCGTTGTCAGCCGCTTCGTTAGGGCGAAACACTTTTGGTGCTTTTTTGCCTCTTGCATCTTTCCAGCTTTTCAATAACTTAGGCTTTGGCTGGGCTGGATCTTTGCTCGGTTTTGTTGGACTTGCCCTATCGGTTGTACCTGTCGTGCTGGTACTTAAGGGGCCAGCAATTCGCCGACAAAGTCCCTTCATGCGCGAGGCTACGTTTGACCCTGATGACGGTGAAAAGGACCGCCCCTCAAACAAGATGGAAGTGTGATAGGCCACTTAAAGAAGGGAATTGGTGGACACGCGTAATTACTGAATACTGGTGCACCAAACGAAAAAATAGGGGAGCAACAGAACAGTTTCATTTGAGTGTGATGCTCGGTTAAGATCAATTAAGCTCCCCGGAAAGCGTGTGCCGCGCTTTTTCAGAGCGACTCGCGTCCGGAGATGACGGAATATGGTGAAGAGGTTTATCTAGGCTTTTGCCAGTCGTTCAGAAACTACAAATCTATGATCCTATTTAATATGAATCCGCAATCCGAATTCCTCTTATGTTACAGCAGCAAACTTTGTGGCGCCTCCTATCGCCCACGCGGGAGAGAAGCATGATCCCCACCTCCTGAAGCATGAATCTATACACCCGGGATTACATAGCAGTCCACGCTATCCATCGGCAGTTGCGAGAGCATCACTCACGCGCGCAAGCTGAAAAAAGCGTGGCATTACCTGTTGCTCGGGTACCGCCCAGAACCTGCACTGAAATCATTGATTACAGCCCTGCGACCCTGAACCCGTCGTCTTCGGTGCTAACACCAGCTTTGTCCTGTCGCCCACTATCACTGATAGTCCCTGCTGTATCTGGGGTGCGGTCGTGCACCAGAACTTCAGGGGGAGAGCCTACCTCGGATGGTTTGTGTTGGAAGGTCGCGTGACCACCACTGTTTGCTCCCAGTACTTAGTCTCAGTCATAGCATGTAGATAGTTTCTCTCTCTCTCAACGCATCAAGAGATTTCCAGTTACATCTACATTCATCGTAGATCTCTAGTATCTCTAACAGCAATCCTCAATACTATTCAAAACCCACCACTCCTAGCCATTTCATGTGTTCTGTTCGTACTCGGCACGGCAATAATGGGCTGGCTGTTCAATAGACACAGTACCAACTATATATGGCTGGCAAACCGGCTATTTATGTGT